CTGGGAACTAGCCGCGTGCAGGCCCAAGGGAGCAGGCTCAAGGGAACTTGATAGTGGGCCTGCAAGCAAGGCCCGGTATTTTGTACTTTCCGCGTTCGCCCACGAACGCGGCATTCTGATTGGCTGTTTGCTGTTAGATTCTATAATTAGATAAGTGATTCATCACAAAGGCTCTCGATAAGCTTAAAATTCGAAAATTGATCACTTTTTTCGATTATAAATGGAACAAGAACAGACTGTTTATTGTTTACTTGAAGGAAGAGATGTTTTTGCCGTTATGCCAATGGGGATTGCTTGTCGTGAGGTGTTGGAATAGCACTCATTACGACTGCGGTAAACTACAGTATAGTAACCTTTACTTGAGTTTCATTAATTTCAAACAGACTTGATACGTTATATGTTCCTCAAGAAAATTATCTTTTGGTTGATGTTGAGATGCAGTTGCATGTAAGCCTGTTCGAAACACTTTGCGATTTACAAGGCTTCGCTGAGAGAGCGAAACAGAAGACGGTATTAAATTGCCGTTTGAAACGAAACGATCTGGACTATGAACGCTCTCTTCTTTTGTAGAGTTCTTTACCAAATGAAATAACTGAAATAAATTTCGTACTTTCCGCCGCCAACAAGAATTGTACACATGATCTGATAAGTGAGACAATTTATTTATAACAATGGCAATAATATAATATAAATGCTAATGTGGTCGCACGACTTCCCTCACGATTTGAAGTTTGAGACTGGTTTTCTGTTGAAATTCGTCCTAATTTGCCTGTTCCGATTTTAGTTGAAAATGAGCACTTGTAAATTTGGCAATTACTGACTGCGTTGCTTGCTTTTTTGGAGTTAAAACGCAGCCATTTACACATTGCTTATGTTTTCAATAAGCAGAGAAAACCCCGCAACATTTTAATGCGAGTTTGTTTGTTAATATTTGGGTGCTGTCATTGGTTCTTTTTTGACAATTGACGCGCGAATGGGGCGTGTTATGAAAAGGGGCGTTTTACAAAATACCGGGCCTTGCTTGCAGGCCCATTATCAGTTCCCTTGGGCCTGCACGCGGGCTATCTGGGAACAGATATTGAAAATATTGCTCCCTTCAGCGGAAAAATTACAATCTGCTTGCAATACTTAGTGTTAGTGTTAATGAGAGGCAGTGAATTCTGAATATAAAAGCTTGATAGCAGAGGCTTGATAGGAAATACGAATATATTAAACAATAATACAGTTTATACAGAGGAATCATTGTCATTTACATTCAGTTACGTTTCTAAAGCAAGTAAGTTGGGCATTAATTTTAGTGTTATGACCGTTGGTTATCATTTAATATGCCATTGTGGTTCGAAATTTCGTTAAATTAAAATAGTTATTAAAGTCCTAAATTTAATAGTAAATAATCTATAATTTCCTAGTAAGCTTTTTAGTTTCTCTTTGTTTCATATCAATGTTTATATTAAATTAAAAATTGAATACAAGGACTGCTGCTTGCAAACAAATTCGAACCTAATTGATAATGTCATGATTCATGAAAACAGCTAAAAATTACAAAATATGTGGTGAAGCTAGTCATAGCAAGTTAGCAACTGATACTGTGAAGATTTAGGAAACAATGCAGTTCTATACACACTATGCATAATGCCTCAAATTATACAATTTGGCATCTAGCTACCAGCCTCGTTTTGATGCAACTTGTTTCCAGGTCCCGAGTTATTGTGCATATCATGTATGTATTGTAGAATATAGAATAAAACACTTTTCTAGGCCTGCTACTTCAAGTACTGCATACTTGCTTTGCATAATGCACAAACAAAGCAAAATACATAGTGTGTATACAATATCCAGATTTTTCCTTAACTCGCCTTATCTCGCCTTAACTCGCAAGGGTCAGTAGCCAGATTTTTCCTTAACTCGCCCTATCTCGCCTTAACTCGCATAGGCTCGCCTTTTCTCGCGGCGAGTTAAGGTCCCAGAGCAGGCCTATGATAATGTATCGGTTTTACTTCAAGATGGCGCCACAAATGACAAAACAAATTCAACCGATGAAACCCTTACGAATTTAGGGGAAATGCTTGAAGATGTTGAAGCTACCGGCGACGATATTACCCCTAAACTGGCTACTATAGCGGAAAACCGATGGAATAAAAAACTAGCGCCTGAAAAGCTGACATTAATTCAAGAAAAATACAAGCGACCCGCCAATTGCACAACAGTATGCTCACTAACAGTAAACCCAGAAATCTGGGCAAAACTGCCGCTCTATCAACAACGGGCGGATTTAAATGTCTCGAAAATACAAGAATCGGTTCGGAAAGCTGCCCTTATATCTCTGCAAACAGCTCATTCTTTGACTAATACAAAGTCTAACGAGCTAGATGTAAAACAGCTCTTAACACAGCAAGTGGATTCGTTAGCTTTATTGGGCCACATAAGTTATGAGTTGGCCTGCCTTCGCAGACACAAAATAAAATCCGTTTTGAAACCTGAATATGCCCCAATATGTGTTGACGATGGCACGCAAAGTAAATATCTGTTTGGCGATGATTTACCCAAACGACTAAAAGACGCCAAAGAGGCGAGCAATGTGGGGCTAGCTGTGAACACGAGCAATTCAAAAAACAACAACTATCGGGCGCCAAAAAGCTATGACCAGCGAAATTGGCGCCAAACACGTGGGGGGCATAATTACCATGCTGGTACTTCACGGTCGGATTTTTTCCAGCGAGGAAAATCGAACTACAAGGGGAAAAAAGGTGCAAAATACCAACCACCTCGCAAGAAATAATCGCTCACTTAAAGACAATAAATTCATCTGTTTCTCCAGTAAGTAAATGGAAAATTTTTATTCCTATTTTAAAGGATTATTTAAAACTATTATGTGCCAGTTCAAAAGCTGGTCGTATCTCAAATCATTTTTCTGCCTGGACAAGCATAACATCAGATAAAGAGATCTTATCTGATACTCGGGGCATGACCATTGAATTGTCAGGAATGCCAGCCCAACATCGCTTTGTCCAAACAAAATTTAACAGTGCAGAAACTGAGATCATTGAGACCGAAATCAACAAAATGTTGGGGAAAGAAATTATAGAACAAGTCGAACATACAAAAGATGAAATTATCTCAAACATTTTTACAAGACCTAAAAAGGATGGCACTCATAGAGTGATCATTAATCTAAAAGATTTCAATAAACATGTATCCTACTATCATTTTAAAATGGATTCATTAAACACTATAGTCAAATTAGTCGATAACGATTGTTTTATGGCCTCAATAGATCTCAAAGATGCCTATTATTCAATACCTATTCGGGAAAAAGACAGAAAATATTTGAGATTTTATTGGCATAATCAACTTTACCAGTTTACTTGCCTACCAAATGGGTTGTCGAGCGGCCCTAGAAAATTTACTAAGATCCTTAAACCTGCCTTGTCATCATTACACATCAAAGGACACATTGTTTCCAGTCATTTAGATGATTTCTATTTACAGGGCAAAACCCCTGAGGAATGTTGCTCTAATTTAATAGATACAGTGACACTTTTTACAGAACTGGGCCTGTTAGTCCATCCTGAGAAGTGTAATTTCATCCCCTCACAAGAAATAGTGATTTTGGGGTTTATAATAAACTCAGTAAAAATGACTGTCAAACTGACACCAGAGAAAGCACTAACCTTAAAGTCAGATTGTGATTTGTTTCTTAAAAAATGCCCTGGTAATATTGAAATTCGAGAAGTTGCTCAAATTATTGGGAAAATAGTATCAAGTTTTCCGGGGGTCCTGCACGGACCTCTTTACTATCGACATTTAGAAAGGGACAAAACCTCAGCTTTAGCTAGGAATAAAGGTAATTTTGATGCTAGAATGACCCTCTCTAAAGAAAGTATTTTAGAGTTAAAATGGTGGTCAAACAAAGTAATAGATGCATTTAAACCCATTTCACATGGGGAACCTTCACTAGTTATTACAACAGATGCTTCCCTGCAAGGTTGGGGTGCTGAGTGTCAGAGTGTAGCCACTGGTGGATTGTGGGCACATTTTGAGGCAAACGAACACATAAACTATCTAGAATTATTCGCTACCTTTTTGGGCTTGAAAACGTTTGCAAAAACAAGACGTAACCTACATATAAGGCTAATGATAGACAATACGTCTGCAGTTGGCATTATTAACAACATGGGTACAAGCCATTCTCCTAAATGTAATATTTTAGCCCATCAGGTCTGGAGTTGGTGTATTGAGAGGAAAATATGGATAAGTGCTGCCCATATACCAGGGCGAGATAATTTTATTGCGGATTTTGAATCAAGAAGAAATGAAAAGGCATCGGAATGGATGCTAGATAAACTACGTTTAGCCAAAGCATTAAAAGACTTAGATTACTCACCAAGTATTGACATATTTGCCTCAAGAATTAATAAACAATTTGATACATATGTTTCATACAGACCAGACCCACAGGCATCAGCAGTAGATGCATTTACTCTAACATGGAGCTCACTCATGTTTTATGCTTTTCCTCCTTTCAGTCTTATTGGGACTGTTTTAAGCAAGATCAAGGAAGACAAAGCAAGGGGGTGGTTGTGCTACCAAATTGGCCAACACAACCTTGGTATGCGAAAGCCCTTCTCATGGGGGAAAAACCACCCATACATTTCCAAGCGTCAAAAGACCTGTTGATACTTCCCAGCCATCCAAACGAGACACATCCATTGTTCAAAAAACTGTCAATGATGATTTGCCTCTTATCCGGGAAAGTTTAGAGCTCCAAAATCTGTCAGAGTCCACGAAAGAAATTATAATGGCTTCTTGGCGTAAAGGCACTCAGAAACAATATAAATCATATCTTTTACGATGGGAGGAATATTGTAACCGAGAAAATGTTGCACCTCACAATCCTGGGAAAGCATATGCTATCGAATTTCTTAGGGAACTATATGATTCAGGTGTAGGATATAGTGCTATAAACACAGCTCGATCAGCACTATCGTCAGTGATAATACCCACGGCAGGGATTCCATTTGGGAAGGACCCTTTAGTTTGCCGGTTTCTAAAAGGGGTATTTGAACTGAAACCTTGCCTCCCAAAATACGCTGAAATTTGGGATGTAAATAAAGTTATTTGTTACCTACAACAGTTTACTTCAGTTTCTGAAGTCAGTTTAAAAGATCTTACAATGAATCTTGCCACTTTATTGTGTCTACTAACAGGACAAAGATGTCAAACGATACACAAGATAGATATGAACTTCATCCAATTGGAAACGGACAAATGCATTATCACAATTAGAGAAGTTTTAAAACATACTAAGGCTGGAAAACACCAAGTGCCTTTGGAACTTCGCTCATACCCAAGGGACAAAAGAGTTTGTGTGTTAGAGTACCTTAAAGAATATATCAAACGAACTACTGTTCTCAGAGGTGAACAATCGAAACTATTTGTGAGTTTCGTAAAGCCCCATAAAGCGGTAACCAAAGACACCATTGCCAGATGGGTCAAATCAGTACTACAGCAATCGGGAATTGATACAGATAAATTCACGTGTCACAGCACCCGGGCTGCATCAACGTCGTGTGTCAAAGCAGCAGGACTTAATTTAAAACAAATAATGCAGTCTGCTGGCTGGTCCAATTCCTCTACCTTTGCAAAGTTTTATGATAAACATATTGAAACTGAAAATTTTGGTTCAACAATTCTCAACACAGCAGATGTTGAAACAGTAACAACAGTTTAAGTAGTTATAATGTAGTTGGGTTACTAAAACAAATACATTTTGTTTATCCATTCATGTGTCGGAGTGGGTTCTTCACGGTCGCAGGACTTTGAAATCTCATGTGACTCCGTAGTGACGTGACTGATGACGTAGTAGAATTCTAAAATTAAACGAGACTTACCTGTAAGTTGAAGTTTGATTGGGATTCTACTAGTCATCAGTCAGGAACGAAGGAGTCACATGCCCAGGTACTCGGTACCAGGCCCTTCCCTCCCGTGACTCTTCGTTCCTCATTCCTGCAACCGTTCACTTTAAAAACTGATCAGCGAAGCACGCACGCGCTTCTCATGTGACTCCTTCGTTCCTGACTGATGACTAGTAGAATCTCAATCAAACTTCAACTTACAGGTAAGTCTCGTTTAATTTTAGAATTAATTGGAATAATCGCAATGCATCACGGTATAGTGACCACTCCTCCTCTGACTGCTGAGTGTCGATTGTCTAGCCTAAACAAGGGTCGTTATCAAATGATTACTGAAAAAGTTCATACTACTAGTACTAGCAATAAACAATTAATATTTGTATGTACAGTACGATTAGGCTCGAAATAACGGTATATCAGCGATTGGCAGGAAATTGCTTTTCATCGTGAGAGAAGCAAAGTTCCGATCATATTGATCGGCAAGAAACATATTTGACCATTGTCTCAAAAACACGGTTACAGAATGTATAAACAGAACGTATCCTTTGGGACACTATAGTCCAATGCTCTGCTAACTAGCTGAGCTACGAGGACAAGTCGGTTTGAGTTCGTGTGGTATTTCCAAGGTGTTTGCCAGAAAAAAAAGTTTTGTCCGTTAAACGTAAATTGGGAAAGTTTTTTTGACCGATCAAAGTCCTTGTGTAGGAATAAATAGCGTTTTTTTCCAACGTGTTTCTCCTTAGATGCAAACAACCTGTTACGGTAGTTTGGTTTTGTGCATTTCATTTCCGGTGAATGAACACTGAAAAATGCACCCGATGGCACTTCGTTTTGTATACATTTCAATTCCGGTGAATGAACACAGATGCACACCGATTACACTTTGTTTTGTACATTTCATTTCAGTGAATACACGCCCAATATGAATGAAACGCGATACATTTTGAGAAAATAGTTAATGGGAAAAAGTATATAAAACGTTCTTTGATATAATAATATAAAATCAAACGCAATGCACTTTCTCATCAGAAAAAATTAAAATCTTCCAGTAGACCGAGTTGGGAAAGCCCCTTAGCTACTTCAATTGGGAAGAGTCCGTCAAACGGACAGTATATGGGCTAGCTAACACCCTGATTTCGGTACTAAGTCCAACTGGTACGGTACCTTCGATAGCAATGTGTTCAAATTAGTTTGCATGCAAGACTGGATTTTAGTGAATTTTATTTTACATATTATGCTAAAAAATAAACATATTATTTACCAGCAGAGCCAGTCCCTTACATGCATGTACATAGTGAACAATAAGCATTCCATAAATATAAATTTATTCAAATGTATGAAATCCAAACAGTCAAAATTTGAATTTATTATTTTACTCTGTATGACGCCAGACACTTAATGGGCCTATCTGCCCATGTGTCTAGTCAACCCTGCCCTGATGTGCCCTACTTTATTATTTTACTGTGTCTAACGCCAGGTAATTTTACTCATCAAGGGGAGAGCCCTGGCGCTTTTAGTGGGTTAATACTAAAAACTGACTGGCACTGTTGGACTATTAATTAAGTGTTCTGTTGGCATTTACATTTTACAGATTTATGCTAAAACGCACAGTCAGAATATTAGAAAATGACAGTCACTAATGTAATTTCATATAATTGCAGCCTTAGATGCAACATACTTGATTATGTTTCTCTCACTGCCTAATGCCACACAACGAAACTCAACCCAAACGAAAAGCAATAATCTTAATTAACCCACCGAGTCGTATTGCACCCTGATTAATTATTTGACTCTGTCTAACGCCAGACGATTTTACTTGTCAAGGGGAGAGCACTGGCGCTTGTGTTAAAGAGCTGTAAATATTAATTATGATGGTTAACCCATTGAGTGGCAGCACTCTTACCCTTGCTGGTAAAACCATATGGCATTAGACAGGGTACAATAATAAAGTAGGGCCACATCCAGGCGCATTATCATTTGCCACTTAAAGGGTTAACAGGGCCGTGCATGGGCAGATCGTCTGTTTAACCCGTTCAAGGGTGGATTTTTATTTTTTTAAAAGGAGGGGTAGAAACATTTCTTAAGTGGGGTGCAAGCAGAACCACTGCAAGCGAGCTTCGACAGGGCTTAGGTGTTAGTTAAAGATTTTCAAATAAAATAGGAGGGGACCCAAACACTTTATAAGGGTATAACCCCCTAACCCCCAGTAAATCTGCCCATGAACTCATTGTGTGGCAGCACTCTCTCCCTAATGAATAAAATTGTCTGGCATACAGACATGAAGGTAAAATAATAAATTAGGGTGCATTTGGATGAATCGCCACTAAAGGGTTAAATTAATATTTATACTAAATATACTAATCCAAATTTTTTCAAAGTTATAACTTTTCCAAGCCATGTAACCATCCAGCCCTCACACTTTATTTAATTTGCAAAATTAATGATTTTAATATGAATTCAATACCGGCCAATCGGTGAATAAATAGCTTTCCAGTTCTTGAGCCATTACAAAATTATTTCTTCTCTACAATGTATGCACTGGTATTTAGTCCATGATGTATCTCGGCACAAAACTGCATTCACCTAAAACTGTTTCAAGAGACAAAAGATTAGAATGTCTGAGTTTCAAAATACAAAACAAGTGTAAACTCCAAATTAAGATCGATAACATTTTTATATGTATCACCACAGGCGGCCCAATCTTACCCTGTGTTATTAATTCATTACGTTATATCTTTATATAAATAGTATATTGAAAATCATTAGAAAATCCTGTGTTATTAATTTATTTAATAAATTAATAACACAGGATTTTCTAATGATTTTCAATATACTATTTATATAAAGATATAATTAACGTAATAAATTAATAACACAGGGTAAGATAGGGCCACCTGTGGTATCACTTAATTGTTTTGTACTTTGTTAAAAATACTTAGTGGTTCTAAAATGTCTGAGTTTCATGTAGTGGTAATTTAGTTGGAATTATAGCCTTTCAAAAATGTAATAGCTAGCCCTTCAGCCTTGGTACAGCCTTTTAATTATATGTTCTGGCCGGAACCGGAAAACTGGTTGGAACTGAAAAAAGTTCTGGCCGGAACTAATTCTGTAATTCATTAATTTAAGTGATATATATTCATATGTTACTTTGTCTGCTACCAGACAGGCAGACACTTTCAGTCATCAAGGACAGAGCTCGCAAATGTTAGAATAAAAAGATGTAGACTATAACGTTAAACGTCATAACGAAGTGTTAAGACTGCACATTTTTTCTTGTCTTCCTATGCTATTCAACAAATAAACTTGATATTCTATCTCTCTAAAAACAACCAACTTCCGGTTACGGCCATATATTTTTTTTTATTAGTGATCTGGCCAGAAACAAAACCCTGAAAAATTGGGTTCCGGCTGGAAATAACCAGCCAGAACCTAGTCCTGGTGCACCCCTACATTTTTCAGAGTTCTGGTTCCGGCTGGAACTAATAAAAAAGCTTGGCTGGAACCGTAACTCTATTTATTTTCAGAGAGATAGAATATCAAACGTTTTTGTGTCCAACAAAAGTTCACAGTAGGAAGAAATTTGGACTACACAAGGAAAATATACACCATTAACACTTCATTAATTATGACGTTTAACATACAGTACAGTATGTCAATCTTTTTATTCTAACATTTGTGAGCTCTCGGTCTTGATAACTTGTCTGCCTGTCTGGCAGCAGACAAAGTAATATCTGACTATATATGGCTTAATAAATCAGCAATGTTCCTGCATATTGTGAAAGTCTCAGAATATGTAATGTAATTTCCTGAGTAAAACCTGTCTGAAAATACAATCTGAACGTCGAAATTTCGAGGGCTCGAAGTTCTGTTTGCAAATTTCAGCCAGGTAGTTGTACGATTAATCACCATATTATTTTATGCCATAAAATATGTACTGTACCTCCAGATCTCCTGCACTGCCACCGACCGTTCGAAATTAATTCCCCGTTTCCTAGAAAAATGCATATAATTTATTCTTACCCACGAGAAATTTATATTGTAATTTGTTTTAAAACCAATTTGACAACCAAGTTTGCTGTTATTACATAATTTTTTTACCAGTGTGAAATTGGCACCATATTCAACTACACGTTCACCACCACGTTCAAAAACACATTAAAAAAATGGCAATGGCTAATTTCAATCACTCAAAACGACAAAACTATCAAAGCGCTATTTTCTCTCACAGTAAACATCCTAATGCAGCAAAAACACGATAGAAATACGTAGAACGAATTTATCTTTAATTTGAGCTATCAAACTTATAGCTCCAAGCAGCATAAGGGCAACAATTTCATTTTTTCATCAAAACATAAAGCTGGATTTCTTAAATTAATTGAAAAAGTCGGGAATACAAAACTAATCGTACCTTAGCCTCTATTCTGTCCGATTTTTTCAAACTTCCATGTATTGTACAACTTTATATGTACTTTCCTACGATACTTCATTCATATTATGCACTTCAGTTTAAAGTACAGAAAAACGCACACAAACTCATGCAACTTTAGTCGCGGAAATATAAATTAGATTAGAACGTTATCCGTGTATTCTGTGTCCGTGTTGCAGTGATAAACCTTCTGATAACTCAGCCTCTATTCTATCCGATTTTTTCAAACTCCCATATATTGTACAATTTTATATGTACCTTCCTATGATACTTCATTCAAAATATGCACTTGAGTTGAAAGTATCGAAACATGCACTCAAACTCATGCAACTTTAGTCGCGGAAATATAAATTTTATTACTATAATTAGACTGATAGTGCGCTATCCGGGTTATCGTTTTAAAACGTCTCATAACTCCGCCCCTATTCTGTCCGATTTTTTCAAACTTCCATATCTTGTACAAATTTATATGTACTTTCCCATAGTATTTCACTCAAATTATACACTTGAGTTGAAAGTACAGAGAAACGCACTCAAACTCATGCAACTTTAGTCGCGGAAACATAAATTGTATTAGAACGTTATCCGTGTTGCCGTGATAAACCTTCTCATAACTCAGCCTCTATTCTGTCCAATCTTTTCAAAATTTCATATATTGTACAATTTTATATGTACTTTCCTACGATACTTCACACAAATTATGCTCTTGAGCTTAAAGTACAGAAAAACGCACTCAAATTCATGCAACTTTAGACGCGGAAATATAAATTTTATTACTATAATTAGATTATATATTGCGTTATCAGGGTTGCCGTGATAAACCTTCTCATAACTCAGCCTCAATTCTGTCCGATTTTTTCAAACTTCCACATATAGTACAATTTTATACGTACTTTCCTATGCTATTTCATTCAAATTATGCACTTGAGTTTAAAGTACAGAAAAACGCACTCAAACTCATGCAACTTTAGTCGCGGAAATATAAATTAGATTAGAACGTTATCCGTGTTGCCGTGATAAACATTCTGATAACTCAGCCTCTATTCTGTCCGATTTTTTCAAACTTCCACATATAGTACAATTTTATACGGACTTTCCTATGCTACTTCATTCAAATTATGCACTTGAGTTTAAAGTACAGAAAAACGCACTCAAACTCATGCAACTTTAGACGCGGAAATATAAATTTTATTACTATAATTAGATTATATAGTGCGTTATCAGGGTTGCCGTTTTAAAACTTCTCATAACTCAGCCCCTATTCTGTCCGATTTTTTCAAACTTCAATATATTGTACAGCTTTATGTATAAATTCCTATGATACTTCACACAAATTATGCACTTGAGCTTAAAGTACAGAAAAACGCACTCAAACTCATGCAACTGTAGTCGCGGAAATATAAATTAGATTAGAACGTTTACTTATCCGTGTTGCCGTGATAAACGATCTCATAACTCAGCCTCTATTCTGTCCGATTTTTTCAAACTTCCACATATAGTACAATTTTATACGTACTTTCCTATTCTACTTCATTCAAATTATGCACTTGAGTTTAAAGTACAGAAAAACGCACTCAAACTCATGCAACTTTAGACGCGGAAATACAAATTTTATAACTATAATTAATTAGATTATATAGTGCGTTATCAGGGTTGCCCTATTAAAACTTCTCATAACTCAGCCCCTATTCTGTCTCATTTTTTCAAACTTCAATATATTGTACAGCTTTATATATACTTTCCTATGATATTTCATACAAATTATGCACTTGAGTTGAAAGTTTCGAAAAACGCACTGAAACGCACGCAACTTTAGTCGCGGAAATAAAAATTAGATTAGAACGTTATCCGTGTTGCCGTGATAAACCTTCTCATAACTCAGCCTCTATTCTGTCCAATTTTTTCAAACTTCCACATATTGTACAATTTTATACGTAGTTTCCTACGATACTTCGCTCAAATTATGCACTTAAGTTGAAAGTATCGAAAAACGCACGCAAACTCATGCAAGTTTAGTCGCGGAAATATAAATTTTATTACTATAATTAGATTATATAGTGCGTTATCAGAGTTGCCGTTTTAAAACTTCTCATAACTCAGCCTCTATTCTGTCCTATTTTTTCAAACTTCCATATGTTGTACAATTTTATATGTACCTTTCTATGATTATTCACTCAAATTATGCACTTGAGTTGAAAGTTTCGAAAAACGCACTCAAACGCACGCAACTTTAGTCGCGGAAATATAAATTTTATTACTATAGTTTAGATTATATGAGTGGGTTATCCGTGTTGGCATTATAAAACTTCTGATAACTTCAAACTTTTATGTATTGTACTGTTTTATATGTACTTTGCTACGAGACGTCTTTCAAATTATGCACTTGGGTTTACAATATTTACTACGGTAGTAAATGAAAATCGTTTATTACATATTCGAATATTCAAGGTGCATGGCAATCTCGTGCCCAGAGCAATGCCTGTGCGCGGGCTAGGATGGCATTAGCTCTGGGGAAATTGACAACCGGAACCCCCCAACAATTTGATAAGTTCCTTAAAAAGTTCCTAAATTCCTGTTTCATTGACCAATCAGATTGCTCAAAATTAAAATATAAAATTTGATTGGTCAATGAAACGGGAAGTTAGGAACTTTTTAAGGAACTTATCAAATTGTTGAGGAATTGTTCAGAGGAACTCCTCGAAGTTAGGAAATGAACTGGTCAACATTTTTCGGAACGCTTCTATTGGCACGACTGTAATCAAATAATTAAGAATACATGCGTAGTTTATTGAAGTGAAATTCGTCAACTTAAGTGCCAAAGGGGGTTAATTTTCAATGGTTTTATAAGCAACTGTCAACTGTGAAAATATGCGATTCTGACTAACATTTTTTATCGGATTCGTATTTGCTCATTTTTTATCCATTTGGCATGAAGAAGATATTCAACAGCTAAAAGCATGGTCTTTCCGATTATGAAAAAGTGTCCTTCATACACAGAGTAATTCAGATCACAATAGTGCGCTGAAGTTTGATTACCTTTTTTTTATACACCCTGTATAATCTAATTATAGTAATAAAATTTATACTTCTGCGACTATAAACATGCATGAGTTTGAGTGCGTTTTTCTGTACTTTGAACTCGAGTGATAATTCGACATTACTATATCGTAGGAAAGTACATATAAAATTCAACAATATATGAAAGTTAGAAAAAATCGGACAGAATAGAGGCTGAGAAGGTTTATCATGCACGGCAACACGGATAACGTTCTAATCTAATTTATATTTCCGCGACTAAAGTTGCATGAGTTTGAGTGCATTTTTCTGTACTTTAACCTCAAGTGCATAACTTGAGTCAAGTATGGTATGAAAGGACATATAAAGTTGAACAATATACGGAAGTTTGAAAAAATTGGACAGAATAGAAGCTGAGTTACTAGAAGTTTTATCACGGCACACTAGCTGATAACGTTCTAATCTAATTTATGTTTCCGCGATTAAAGTTGCATGAGTTTGAGTGCGTTTTTCTGTACTTTAAACTCAAGTGCATAATTTGAATGAAGTAGCATAGGAAAGTACGTATAAAATTGTACTATATGTGGAAGTTTGAAAAAATCGGACAGAATAGAGGCTGAGTTATCAGAATGTTTATCACGGCAACACGGATAACGTTCTAATCTAATTTATATTTCCGCTACTAAAGTTGCATGAGTTTGAGTGCGTTTTTCTGTACTTTAAACTCAAGTGCATAATTCGTATGAAGTATCATAGGAAAGTATATATAATGCTGTACAATATATTGAAGTTTGAAAAAATCGGACAGAATAGGGGCTGAGTTATGAGAAGTTTTAAAACGGCAACCCTGATAACGCACTATATATAATCTAATTATAGTAATAAAATTTATATTTCCGCATCTAAAGTTGCATGAGTTTGAGTGCGTTTTTCTGTACTTTAAACTCAAGTGCATAATTTGAATCAAGTCGCATAGGAAAGTCCGTATAAAATTGTACTATATGTGGAAGTTTGAAAAAATCGGACAGAATAGAGGCTGAGTTATCAGAATGTTTATCACGGCAACACGGATAACGTTCTAATCTAATTTATATTTCCGCGACTAAAGTTGCATGAGTTTGAGTGCGTTTTTCTGTACTTTAAGCTCAAGTGCATAATTTGTATGAAGTATCATAGGAAAGTATATATAAAGCTGTACAATATATTGAAGTTTGAAAAAATCGGACAGAATAGGGGCTGAGTTATGAGAAGTTTTAAAACGGCAACCCTGATAACGCACTATATAATCTAATTATTGTAATAAAATTTATATTTCCGCGTCTAAAGTTGCATGAGTTTGAGTGCGTTTTTCTGTACTTTAAACTCGAGTGCATAATTTGAATGAAGTAGCATAGGAAAATATGTATAAAATTGTACTATATGTGGAAGTTTGAAAAAATCGGACAGAATAGAGGCTGAGTTATGAGAAGTTTTAAAACGGCAACCCTGATAACGCACTATAATCTAATTATAGTAATAAAATTTATATTTCCGCGTCTAAAGTTGCATGAGTTTGTGTGCGTTTTTCTGTACTTTAAACTCGAGTGCATAATTTGAATGAAGTAGCATAGGAAAGTACGTATAAAATTGTAATATATGTGTAAGTTTGAAAAAATCGGACAGAATAGAGGCTGAGTTATCAGAAGGTTTATCACGGCAACA